TTACCCATGAGAAACACGCTAGTTTCTTAAGTTAATGTCAAATATGATCAAGCTATACCACCACCATTATATCTTCACCTGCTCATGTGCAAAATGAACTTACAGTAGGAGAATCCATTTCACTGAACCCCAAACTAACCTGGGTCTGTTATTCCAACCACAAGCAGTTTGCTGAGAACATCAGCCACAACCTGCACTGCTGTCTGACTGACCACATGGGCATGGCCACTGATCAAGTGGATGGAAGGCGTGAGCAAGCGAGAGCAAGTGCGGGCTGCTTCCATCCGGATCTCCTTGTGCTCGCTGTTCAGGAAGTGGTCTGCACAGTGCCGCACAAACTGAGTCAGCGAATGACCTAGAAAGAAGATGGGAATTTAATACAGGTTTACCCCTTGAATACTGGTCTTATTGGGACTAGGATTTTGAAGAGAATATTCTGAGTTATCCTGCTATTTGTGCTCCAGTGCAGTAATGTTTATTTCCCATACCCCCTGCTCCTCTGCTTTCTTACCTTCAAACTCAAAGCTGCCCAGTGTACGCAGGGCAAGGGTGATACTACCCACATCACTGGCTTCTGGGATATTGGTGAGGCTGGGGGAGGCCAGCTGGTGAGCCAGGCCCTTTGGCATGCCTGGATGTCGCAGCGGCTTGTGCATTAGAACAAGGGAGAGCATTTTCAGCAGCCCATCCTGGATATCCTTCTTTAGCTGGGGGATCTGACGACTCAAGTCATACAGCACGGCTGTTAGAGCAGGGCTGAAGGTAAGATGCAGACAAAGTCATTAGAACAGAAACAGTAAGAGGTGCATATTTCACCTTTTTCTTTATGCCTTCTCTATCAGAAGATACTTGTGGGCATTCGCACATCGCAGCAACACCTACCAGCAGAGCATAGGGGTCCTTGTATGAACTCAGGCATATAAACAGAGTTCTTGTATGAACTTGGTGAGCAAACCACTTGGACTGCAGCATACGTTACTACAAATTTAAGTGATTCCTTGTACTTGTGCTTTTTAGACACAAAACCAACTAAATTCAATTCCAGGTGGTAACATTAAACATCCACATAGCACGGAGTTACTTAGATTTCTCCATACCCTCCCATATCGACATATGCACGACCTAGGAGATTTCCAATAGGAACTATCAGGCTGAACTCTGAAGGTGAAAGAAGCTAGGTGCAAATATTCAGCATTCTCCTTCCCCGTCAATATGATACAGCAGGGATCTGCAGGCCTTCAGAGGCTTTCTAAATTTTTGCAGGTTGTTGCCAAATGTGTTTGAACGTAGGAAGCAAGAGACTGCTTTTGAATTCATTATTTTTTTTGTTGTTTTTTTTTAAGACTACTTTAAGCAGACACCAATGCTTTTAAGAAATTCAAAGGACATATGATGCTTAAAACATATTACTCTTCTGAAAGAGCAATACAGATTACTTAAAAGCAATAATCTTCATTCTCAATCTGAACACTTTTAAGATCTCCTTCTGCATAGCCAACAATGCCATCCAGTGGCTGACAGAAAGACATGCACTTGTGCCTTGTATTTACCTCAGGCCCACAGCCAGCATAGGTTCCAGAAGCTCTTTGATGTCCTGCTGGATACTTGGTCCCATGGCTCGTGCCAGCATACTAATACAGGTGAAGACTGTAGCATCAACCTGAACAGACTTCTGCCTCCTGAAAAGGGACCACACAGAAGTTAAGAGAAGTTGCTATTTTTTAAACACTTTCTCATCCTACTTGTGTTGTCCATCTTAACAAAAATACCTTTGATTTTAACATCACTCCATATGATAAAAATTATACAAAACTGGTGTTTCAGTTTCTTCTCAAACCTAACCTTCAAATACTTACTTGTGGGCAAAGTCCTTTGGTGGAAGAGCTGCCTTTATGATTTCAAGGACTTTTGGCAGGTAAGCTTGAAACTCAGATCGCACAGCTACAGAAAGTAAACCCAAGGCCTGGAAGGCTGCTGTACGCTCCTTCTCCTTCTTCACACAGCTTAGAACATGGTTCATAGTGTCAGGAAGATACTGATCAGCTGCCACCAAGAGAGAACAAAACAGATATTGGAGGTCCTTTAGGTTTATGTAGTTGCATCAAATTCGCAATTAAGCCTTTACAAGTATAAAACCAGGGGAGAGCCACTGCAATATAAAATTTGCTGACACCAGCAGTGGCAAACACACTGCTATATGATAGCATTTCTAAAGCCCAGAAGGCTTTTTTTTTTTTTTAAATTTTAAATAAATTTCACCAAAATGAAAGAGTTACAAGAGAACATTGCAGCAGGTGATCCACGACACCTCCTACAGATTCTATACAGGAACAAGAAGCAAGCATCTTGTTATTCTAAATTTCCAATCAATCATTATAACAAAGACAACAGAAACTTTCTCCAACCTACTTGGATCAGTTTAATGACATGCCTCCAACTCAGATGTTCTTCTAAACTTGCTTGATAAATCAACTGAACTGCAGTAAAGCAGCAGCTATTTCCCATTTTACCTTGAGATTTCCTGGCAGATGTAACAGAAAGAGGAAAACAACTCTGCTGATAATATTAGGTCTATACGGATTGCAATCAAGAGAGCAGAATGCAACCATAAGTTTGAACTGAGAAAAGACAAAAATGAGGTTCTACTTCTTAGGGTACTGATTACAGAATTCAGAAAATAACTTTCAATCCATTCACTAAATCAGAGGAACATTTTAGCCTTAAAAAACAAACAAAAAAACCACCTGTCCTTCCACCACTTGCATGGAAGAATTTATCTGCTCATCTTCCAAGCACAATGTTTCTACTGCTGCATCGCCTGCACAAACTCATCTGGACAAAAGAAAGCTGGCTAACTTCCAGTCCAATTTCAGTAACACTAACATCCAGCCATCTGTCTCCTCACCTGTGAATGCCGAAGGACGGAAAGCTGCCAACCGTGGTAGCAGATTGAGAACTGTCATCTGGATCAAAGAATTTTTGCTGGTTCTGCACTTGAGAACCCACTGGCACACCTGAAAGGACACAGATTGAGCTCTGAAGGATGGCTGTTGGTAGTAATGCATGACCATTTATTACCTGGGTGCCTGAAGGCATTCCACTGACATTTGGCTTCAGAACCTATCAGGAAGACAGATAATCAAGACTGCTTCCAAAGAAATTAAACCATTGCTCTAACAGACAGTGACACAACCAGAATATCAGGTTTGATACCTCAGTTCAGTATTAGGCAGCATTGATCTCTGTATCCTTATTAGGCAGGCAATTATATGACAAGAACCAGCGTTGTGAATTTTGGTAGACAAGAATGAACACTTACCTGATCAAACTTCTCTTCCATTAGATCCCTGCAGCATCGACTTTCTACCAAGGTAGACTTTGCTGGCACAGGTGAGGTTGCGAAGCCCATGATTCCTTGGTGGGCACTGTACCCCAGCAGACCAGCCAAAGCATTTGACTGAGAGGGCTGAAGAGACTGGAAGCTAGTGAAGGGAGTGATGTGGCGAGGTTTGGTACTAAAGCCCATCAGGTCTTTGCAGTACTTGTCATGCACAAGCTGCTGCTGAGTGATCTCCTCCATCTCCTCTCTAAGGCGCTAGACAAAGTAGAAAAGCATGTTTGGTAGCCAGCTAAAAGATGCCCAATCTAGTGCTACCTACGTTTCCTGAGCAGCATCCTTTACCACTGATATCCAAATGGCTGGAAAACAGCAACTAAGCAAAATTCAGCAAAAATATTTCGGTATCTGATATGAAACAAGAGAGACTGCATTCTGTATCATTCTTTTACATTTTAATTAATTCAATTAATAACACTTTCCATCAGAGCTTGACACCTATGCAGCCAAAACATGCTGCTGTTATTTCCCCAACACCCCTCAATTGAAAATAATCAATACTCTGAGTCCATGTTCAGATAACTTTTCAGCCCAACAACCCCATTTCAAACACAGTGGATTATTTCCACAGATTGCTGAGCTGCTACCGACTGTTAATCAATAAATTGGCAGCCAAAAGCTGTAACCCTCCTCTTGTTCATTTGCTCACCTCTCCCTCCATACTGCTGATTCTCACTAGCTCATTGAGGATCAATAAGGCACCATGGATTCGGTCATCACGGTTCATTCCTTTCTCCTTGGCCAAAGTCTCATCAAAACCCTTCTCAGCCTCTTCGTATGTATGCTTGGGGAAAGAAAAAAAAAAAGAAAAAGCTCAATGACCATAACAGAGGCAAAGCCTGTGAAAATGGAGTAATATTGCCAGTCAAGAGTTACTGACATCCTGTAATTTTCCAATAGCCACAAACCTGACCTGAACAAGAGGAGAATATAATACCACGGAATTAAGAATCACACGGAAATTGTGGACTCTGCAACAGAGTATGTTTAACAGCATTAATCAAACAGCCAGCCAAGCCATGGTACAAATTTCATCAATATCTGTGTTGCTTACTTGACCATGACGAATCAAAGTTCACAACATCTGCCTGCACTTTTCAAACCTTAATTGATATTATGAAGCTTGAATCCATGTGGCAATGGCAGCAAAGCTGAAGATTGGGCAGGAGAATCTTTGCCTAATACAGTCAGTTTTACTAGCGTTGAAAAAACTTATCTGCTAGTAAGAGAAGATGACAATACATGGAAGACTGTGTGCCTGTAAAACTAGGTCAGACTCGAGAGCATAAGATGAGCTGCAGATAAAGCAATGGGATCTTGATAAAATTAATTTTCTTGCTTGCTTTTAGAGTGGGCTAAGGGAACTACTCATTTTGTAATCCATTATGTTTCCAACCTTTTCCAGGGGAGGCAGTTTTCTGCTGATAAAGCAGATGTTTTGACACAAGTGAAGCAGGTTCTTAGCTTAACTTTCATAGAAACTGGCACTTGATCATTTGCATTGCATTCTGAAGAAGCTGTTTCACAATAAAGTTATTTTCTTACTCTGTACCACTGAGGCTTCTGCATCTCTTTTGGTTCCCGTTGAGTGGTGAGAATAAGGCAGGCTCTTAAGGCAGAAACAGCTCCCTCTCGAATGGCCTGTTTGGGATCCCACACAGCCACAAAAATATTGTCAAAGAACGGCTGCACTTGCTGGAAGAAGAAGGTAGGCACGCTGATTGCCAGCTCACGCAGGACAAGAACCTGGAGGTGGAGAGAGAAACAGTAACAATCCGTGAGGATGAACATCCACGGACAAAACTCATTTTCTAGAACGTAGCACCGTTTATTTCAACTGTTAATGTCTGTGAGCCTGAGCTGTATCCAGCTCTGTACTTTTACAGTTCATAGGGCAATGGTGTCTCATGTAGTCAATGGGCATTTCTAAGGTAGCAGCGATGAAGAAGCACTGTATCTGCTACGAGAATGTCACAGATCCTTCGACCTGGACTGGCAGCCACTCTGTTTCCCAATCAGAGGTTTTCCCCAGCTTTTCAAGCTCACTTCCTACCACTGTTAAGCAAGCTTAACCATCCCGTTCCACAACAGGTGACGACAACAAAAAGGATGACTTACAGCTGCATGTCTTCGACCTTCATTCCTGTCAGCCCCCAGCCACTCCAGAGCTCGCTTCACCTCAAACTCCACGTACTCAGGCTGTGAAGGTGTCACCAGCCATTGCGAGCCGCCCGATAGCCTTGGAGGCCATCTCCATTACAACAGGGTCATTGGATGGTAAAAGGTTCCTCAGGTAGTTTGCAAACCTGCCAATACGGGTGGCGTTACCTCCTTCAACACCGATAAGGCTTGCTGTAGAGAAAGGGACAAGTGCTGTAGGTTGTCCACAAGAATCAGTGGAGCAGACAGTAGGTAATCCCTGATTGAGAGTTAGTATTCTCTATCCATTCCTTAAAGATTCCCATTAACTCTTCCTAAACTGCAAATCCACAGGAAAAAAAAAAAAATCAAGTAATAAGAGAAGGTCACCGTTCTTTCAAGACTGAACTTGTTAAGCGGACAGGAAAATGCTTCAAGTAGCTTCATAGATTTTCCCCATTTTTAGTTCAAGAAAAAAAAAAGTCCACCCTGGGATCACAGACCCATTCCCAAATGAAAGGCATCCATCCACATGCAACTACCATGGCTGGTCCACCTCAGTAGAGAAGTCAAAGACTGAATGGACCGAGGAAATTGCTCTCCTCCATCAACCCTGGAGGTGGTCTCTCCAGGCCAGGGTGGAGGCCCGCTGGCAGGGGGCAGTGCGGCAGAAGCTTGCACTGCCAGTGCCTGGGTTGTACCTGCTCTGTAGATAAAGAGGCCATCAGTGTCCAGGGTTGTCAAGCCGGCACCTTTCAACAGCACTAAATTCACAGAAACAATTTTAAAGTGATACTGTCAGCTTAAAAGCAGATGTCAACAAAGATTTCTCTACCTAAGGGGCTTCCGCTGTCTTCAAACACGTTGGGATTGGATGATTATGTCTGTGAACCTAACCCATAGGCAACTCCTATTTGGTTGTTAAAGTAACTGTCACAAAACAAGCTACTTGCTCAGAAAACAGGTATTTATCCAAGCTCATTTCCATAAGAGTCAAAACACAGGCAGCTCTGCCAAGTCACAGCAAAAGCACAACCAGAGCAATTGACAGAGCAGCTGATCAGAGTCAAAGCAAAGCCATGTGAGCCCCTCCCAGGGATGGTAGCTGCTGTTGTTGAAGCAGGTAAATTTAAACAACAAGAATCCATCTACTCAGGCATAAAAGAGTTCAGAAAGTCAGCCCACTGTGATGCATATAAAATTAAGAGCACAAACTGTTCTCAGTTGAGCTCGAGAACAGAATTTTCACGTGAGCAGCACTCGCATTTGATGCTTGACTCCCAGAAGAGCTCGGTGCCCATTAAGCACCAGGTTTTCATCCACTCTCAGCACTCAGCAGCTCCCATGCTGACACTTACAGACAGATTTCAGAGCCCAGCAACAAGCACGCACCCAGCTTACTGAGCAGTCAGACGTAACACCCTGCTTACGAAAGTTCATTGCTTTGGAAAATCTGTCCCAAGAGAGGAGGCACATGAAGAGAAAACTCACCAAAGGCATAAAGTACTTTTACTTACCAATAGCCAAAATGCCGCCTTTCCTTTCATTTGCATCAGAGCTAGAGACCAGCTCAAATATGTGATGGTTCAGCTGATCATAAAACCTGGTAGACTCCTCCTGGCTCATCTGTAGAAGAAAAAATCCACATCAGCTCAAAGCATTCTGTCCCTCCTTGCCAGCCCCAAAACCTCCATAAAGACAATGCTTCCTAGGTTACTTAAATGGCTGATTTAATTTCCTTGTATACATCACAAACACAAATGAGTTTCTCTTCTTTGTGCCCTAGAGCCACTGAGTTTATTTATTCTGGTGCTTGACCACCCAGTCCGTGTCACCAACTTGCTCACCTCTTCTAAATGCTGGGGCACAGGAGAGATCTGCGCTACTCCCCACCTCCTTTTTAAGGCCAGTTTCCGTATTCCAACATGTCCATTACCAAAGCACCCAGCCAGTGCCCTATACTCATCTGACAGATGATGAGAAATTATTTGCAGCACTCACTTCGCGGAGCTCCATGGTGACATAATGCTGCAGGTCCTTGGCAGCTTTCGCCCTCGTCTCTTCACTGCGACTCTTCAAGCCATTGGCAAATTGTTGGAGGATGGATACGGTGCCCGACATGATGGTGTTATGCTGGGGCTCGGGGCATCAAGTCCTGTAAATTCTTCAGAGACACATTTTGTGGTACTGCTTTTAGTTACCGAAATCTCTGGACTTCTTAACTCCAAAATACATAACCCATTGCATGAAGGATGCTGTCCCAAAAAAGCATGAAATAGTACAAGTAACAACTAGCTTCCTGAGGCACTACAGCCCTGCGATAAGACCTTATCATTACACAAGGCTGTGACACCCACCCCCAGCCCCTTTGCTCCCTAGTTCCTCAAACACCACAAGATGCTGCAGTGGGTAAGGTGCCCGACCCACAGCGCTCTACCTCCAAGCCAAGGGTCACGCAACAGCTGAACACAAACCAGGGTAAAATTAAGTTTTGCACAGTAAGTAGGCACAACCACTCCCACGAGGATGCCGTTACCCTACCTGACTCCTGCACCATCTCCACCCAAGCTCCTCCACAACAACCCCGCTGCTCTACCCGCACAGGGAGGCCCTAGCCACGGCCTGACAAGCGCTGCATTCCCCAGGAGATATTTAGAGAGGGGCAGCCTACTTATAGCAACACCAGTCACTGCGCCGGGATGCTTGCTGTCGCACCGCTCACCCAAACTTCCTCACGAGTGCTTTTTCAGGCAAAAAAAAAACATTTTAAAGCTCTGAGCCCTCGGTTTGCAGGTTACACAAACGCCAGCTTGACAGCAGGGCCCCAAAACCTCACTCCCTTCCCCAGATCCCCCCGGGGCGGCCATAAAACCCCTCAGGGCGAGGCGGCCTCGGGGCTGGGAGCCCGGAGAGGCTCCTGAGGGGAGGCAGCGAGCGGCCGCCGCCCCCCCCGGGGGGCTCCGTCCCTCACTGAGGGCCGAGCCGGAGGGGGCCGGCAGCGGGAACGGGGAGGCTGAGGGGGAGGCTGGGGGGCCGCTGGGCGCTGACAGGGCGCGGGGAGCCGGCGCGGCGGGTGCTGAGGGGACGGGGAAGGGGAAGCGCCTGAGGGGAAGGCTCCGCAGCCGCACTCACCGCCTCCGCCCCGGCCGCCGCCGCCGCCGCCGCTCCGGGCCCCTGCGTCCTCCCCTCCCCCGCAGCCGTCGGCCCGCCGGGTCGCTGCCGGCCAATGGGCTCGCGGGAAGGGTTTGATAGGCACCGCCTCTGTCCAATAGAAGCGGAGAAAAGGGAAGGGACGCCCGCCCCTCAGCCCCGCCGCTCCGCCCGAGGAACCGCAAGGAGAGCCCGTCAGCGCCCGGCCAATCGCGAGGCCGGCTGGCTGTAACTGGCGGCGCGTCCGGCCAATAGAAATGCCGGCCGCGAGGGGCTGGTGAGGCGGAGGCCCGCCCTCCCCTCGCGCCGGCTGGCGGGTGCCCTCCGCTGCCGCCCCTGCGCTTTGTGCGCACGCGCGGAGCCTGAGGCGCGCTGCGGGGCCGCGCCCGCTGTGCGCCGCTCAAATGCGTCCGGGCGCCCATGACGGGCCCAAGGGCAGCCGGGGCGGCGCCCGGCGGAGAGGCCTTCGCCTACCGTAACGGCACGTGAGGCGCGGCGGGGACGGGCTGCCTCGGTAGCGGAGCCCTGGGGGTGTTTCACGGGCCCAGGCGCGGGGACGGGAGCCTGAGGCGGAACCCCCCGCGCGGGGCTTGTGGCGGTGACGGGGCAGTGGCGGCCGTTGGGGCGCGAGCGGGTCAGGGCCCCCTCAGGCGCCTCCCGACCCCCTCAGGGCCCCACAGGGCCGTCCCCTTTCCCCTCCGGTTCTCCTCCCCTCACAGCCCTTCTCCTCCTTGCAGGTGCCGCAGCTGTGAGGCGAGGCGTCGAGGAGAGCATGGGGCCGGTGCAGCCGGAGGTCAGCATCAGCGCGGAGAGCCCCCGGGGCGGTGAGAGGAACGAGGTCAACGCCGTGCTGGCGGGGGCTGAGCGCGGCCCTCCCGGTACCTGGAGGCAGAAGTGCAAGGCCTACGTGCTGGCGCTGAGGCCCTGGAGCTTCAGTGCTTCCCTCACGCCTGTGGCCCTCGGTAGCGCGCTGGCGTACCGGGCTGAGGGAGCGCTGGATCCGCGGCTGCTCCTGGGAAGCGCCGTGACCGTCCTGGCCGTGCATGGAGCTGGCAACTTGGTGAACACCTACTATGACTTCTCCAAAGGCATCGATCACAAGAAGAGTGATGACAGGACTTTGGTGGACCAGATTTTGGAGCCGCAGGATGTAGTCCGGTTCGGGGTCTTTCTTTACACCGTGGGCTGTATCTGTGCTGCGGGGCTCTATGCTGTCTCAACGCTGAAGCTGGAGCACCTGGCCCTGATTTACTTCGGGGGACTTTCCAGTTCCTTCCTTTACACTGGAGGTAAGTGCTGAATCCTGTTTGTGTTGAGCCTGAATGTGAATGTGTTGTGGTTTATCCCGGCCGGCAGCTAAACACCACACAGCCATTTGTTCACCCTCCCTCTCTGCGATGGGGGAGAGGAATGAGAAAGTGAAGCCTGTGAGGTGAGGTAAAGATAGTTTATGAAAATGGGAAAATAATAATAACAATAATGATGATAATAGTACTACTACTAATAATATGTACAAAGCAAGTGATGCACAATGCAATTACTCACCATCTGCTGACCGATGCCCAGCCTAACCCTGAGCAGCCCAGCCCCAGCTAGCCACCCCAATATGTTGTTTAGCACAACGTCAGATGGTATGGAATACCCCTTTGGCTAGTTTGGGTCAGATGCTCTGATTCTGTCCCCTCCTAGCTCTTGCTGCACCCCCAGCCTGCCCATTGGCAGGACAGAATGAGAAGCTGAAATGTCCTTGGCTTGGTGTAAGCACTGCTCTGCAACTATTAAAACATCAGGGTGTTATCAGCACTCTTCTCATCCTAAGCCAAAACATAGCATTCTACCAGCTACTAGGAGGAAAACTAACTCTGTTCTAACTGAAACCAGGACAGAATGAGCTGACCTATCAGAGGGCTTCTGGAAGACCCAAATGGTCTAGTTAACTGCCATAAAAAGTATTTGATGGTATTTCTTAGATCACTGGTCCATTAACTGCTGTTCTTTGTCATTGACTGCTGTGGGAACGGATGCACCAAGTTCTTCAGTTGGACTGTAGCAACGAGGCATTATTATTTACGTATGGCTTTAGGTGTTCTTCAGAACTGTCACTGAAACTTCTTGTGATGCATTTTTCACATTCCTGAGCTGTATAGCTCACTGCAGATGTTCTTTTCCACTGGTGGAATGTTTTGATTTGGAATGTTGATATTCTTTAGATAGAATTTCATTGAGAATGTAGAACAGTATGTGTTTCTTTTGAGTAAGAAGACCCTGTTAGTGTTTTCCTCGGTTGGGTAGGTACAAACATGAGAGTCTGGAGAAATTAACAAGTTACATTTCCTTCATTCTTTTTGGCTTTAATAAAAAAAAAAGGAAAGATGCTTCTCAGCCATAGCTACATATTTGCTGGTTGATTTGCAGTATTTCTGTGGGAAGGGCTGATCTGTTGTAATCCATTCTCTTCTGCCACTTGAGTTGTTTGATGCTTCATTTTATGCTTGTGTTTTGCCACAGGAATTGGATTTAAATATGTTGCACTTGGAGACGTGGTGATCCTGATCACCTTTGGGCCCCTGGCCGTCATGTTTGCCCATGCTGTGCAGGTTGGTTATCTGTCTGTCTCGCCACTACTCTACGCTGTCCCACTAGCGCTCAGCACTGAGGCCATCCTGCACAGCAACAACACCCGAGATATGGAATCTGACCGGCAGGCGGGTATTGTCACCTTGGCTATCCTCATCGGCCCTACGTTCTCCTATATTCTCTACACCATGCTGCTCTTCTTACCCTACCTGATTTTCTGTGTGTTGGCCACACGCTACACCATCAGCATGGCCTTGCCGCTACTCACCATCCCGATGGCATTCTCACTGGAGAGGCAATTTCGGAGTCAAAGCTTCAACAAAATTCCTCAGCGGACAGCCAAGCTCAATCTCCTTTTGGGGCTTTTCTATGTTTTTGGTATCACACTAGCACCGCCTGGTGCCCTGCCCAAACTGTAACAGAGCTGTGGAGTCAGGCCTCACAATGCAGTATTAATGCCAATTAACAGGGGATGATGCAGGTAGCTGACCTGTTATGGACAGTGGGAAGAACAGAGACTGTTTTGAGCTGTTGATTGTACGTGACTTCCATCACTTCTGGTCTTGGTTAGCTTGTACAAAAGACTTTAGAGAAGCCCCCTGTCAGTTCCTTGGAAGGGGGGAACTGCACGGCTCTGCTTCGGGAGTAGCAATGTGACCTGAGGACAAAAAAGAGTTTAAAGAAGGCCACCCTTCTGCCACTGGACGTTGAGTGTTTTTTTTTCTGTTAATGAAGTAAGATTGAGTCTCATGTAAACTGTCCTTTCCTTTCGCAAGCGTGGCGATTGCCGTTATCACTCCGTACCATGGTCAAGGAGTCCAGTGGCTCCTGCGTGGTAAACAGAAAACACTGCCAAATGTTTGTTTAGCATCATAATGATGTAGGTGCTATTACTTCACTCCTATGTGAGCGTAATTCATCTTCATCAGTTGTATGTTTTAATTTTTGCTGTTTTTCATTTCCTAGCCAAATTTTGAGGTTTTTCTTTCCAAGCCCCTTGAAAAGTACTAGATACCGATTCATTCACTGTCTCTGCTTGGTTCTTACAGCCTAGAAAATTCAAAATTACGCATTTCTGTGGTGTGTTGGTGCTAAAATGGAGCACAACTAGTCCACTGCACAAGCTTTAAGCCAAAACCAGTAAATTTATATTCTGCCATAAAAGCTAAACCTGTAAATGCAAACCATGCAACTGAATAGCCCTCAGTGTGCAGAAAAACAGGCAGTTTCCATTTCTGTATTTGCTTAGAATTAACTGAAAGGACAACCTTCTGTTCAAGGGGAGCTGATGGACAGGGTGCCAAAATTCTGATTGGACAGGGATTAATGGAGTGGGAGAACAGATTAAAAAATGTATCTTTTTGATGGCCATTCTCTCCTTAGTCAGAGGCCTGTAGTATTATAATCAAATGTCCTAACGCAAGACCTAGAAGAAGCCCATGTGGTAGCAAAGGAGAAAGATACAGGGTTTGTGAAACTTACTTCATTGGCTCTGCATACAAATTAGAACTGGGAACAGGAAGAACTCATCTTTGGTAGCAGACTTTTTCTAAGGGAGTCCAGTTTTTGCATGACTGAATCACATTTAAATATTAAGATCTTTGAAGTGAGGTTCCCCACCTCCTTTCCTCCACCTGCACCTCAGTGTTTTATTTCCTTCTGCAGCTGTCACCCATTGATACTTATTTGGACATTTGGAGAACTGATTGTTTCAATAAATATGGAGCAGTACAAAAAAACAAACCATGCCAAACACAACTGGGAAAAATCCAGTGACTTTCAGTGCAAAGATAAATTTGTTCCATTCTGTGTTACTTAGTGGCAACTGAATTCTCTCCTGTGTTGAAGGAGAAGTCTTTATTTCCTGCATGTAGGGTTCTGGTGAGACGTGTGTTTACAGGAGTTGTGAAGAGCTTCACAGGAGCTGATACTGGTGTTGCACTAGCGCTGTTAGTGCCTGGAGCACAGCTTTGCTTTTGAACCAAGTAGGAGTGTGCTAACCACCCTATCAAGGGCTGTTAAACATGAGCAATAAACTTAGCATCCTCCATCTGTCCTAGGTAAGTTACACATCTGAGAGTACTGAATATTGTGGTAGGGCAGTGTGCTGCTAGTGGTGAAGCTGAGTTAATGACGCCAAGTTACATAGTATTGATGGTTAAATGACTTTATGGCTATGTGCTATCCAGCTGTTGATCTCCTCCTTTATAGCTGAGCTGTAGACGATGAGGAGCATTCCTTGCCCACAAGTTTTTACAAGCTACAGGTTTGTTTTTTTAATAAAATTGGGCAAGTGATTTTTCTAATCTGACTAGGCCCAAGATGAGAAAAGATGGGCTTCAGCAACTGTCTGCTGCTTCCTACAGCAAAACACTTGTTCAGATTAGAAACATCAGAAAAAGCAAAACTTCAGCTCAGGTAGATGTAAGCAGATATCCAGAAGCTTTTGGAAACTTCTTTGAATACAGACATACACAACACTACATCTACTCTTGTTTTTTTGTTCTTGTGTACCTACATAATAAAGAAGAGCCTGGCTCTGAGACCCACTTCACATTTTGCACAGTAAAAGCATTTCTAGAGATGTGGACTGAGCCTGTGAATCTGTTAATCTTAAACTCATAGATAGATGGGTTTATTAAATTAATCTCAGCATGGCTTTGTTGTTACCCTTTGTAGCAGTTGTGTGCTTTATTTTATGATAGTTTGTTTTTATATAGCTATCAGTTTAACAGAAAAGTTGTGTTTTTCCTATGCAAGTAGAGTATTTGAGCTAAATTCATTAAATTAACTAAGACATGGGTCATATGTCTGATAACTGTGATTGAACTGGTGGAGAGAAAGATCTAGAAAATGATTGTTGTTGGAGTAATATGTGCAACTGTAGTTGTGTCTAGGCTGTGCAGGGTGTCTGTGCTGCTGGAGGACCAGTGCTGCTTGTTACAGAGATGAAGGAAGAGCTCACTAGCGTGTGTGTGTTTATAGAACACTTTTCAGGGAGGGGAGTTTCAGAGCAATTTAGTAGTAAGAAGGAGACTAAAATCAGTCTAAAATGCTTTTGCTTCCTAGCATGTGCTGGTTGCCTACAATTCCCTGTCTGTGAAGGTGTCGTTCCAGGTTCTTGGGGATACTGATAATACATCACACTTTCTTCACCATGCCTTTGAGGAAGTCATTTCACTTTGTGTACCAGAAAACAACTAATTTTTGCCTACCTCACAAGGGATGCTGAGCCGACATCACTGTCATAGCTTTGAAAGCAAAAAGTGCTTTATCTCTGTGCTTTCCAAAAGTATTATTTGCTAATACTAGGAAGAGGTTTGGGTATGAACTAACCTAACAGGTGACTTAACTGATGTAAGTAGACCAAAATAATCTCCACACAGACATTGAGTAGTAAGAGAGGCTCCTTTACTGGTTTCTTTTGTGATCAGGATGCTGGCTCTCTTTCCAAATCTTTCTCCTCCCTGTCCCATGCTACCTTCCCTGAATATAAACCTTTTAAATTTCTTACAGGTCTCTCTTGATGAGCTGTGTTGGGATGTGATGCATCTACACTGGTAGATGAGCAGATCTGGGGCCCACCTGTAAATGTGTCCTAAAGCACCTTCTGGCCTTTCTTCTTATCCAATAGAACGTCTGAATGTTACTGTTAACTATGCTGTGTTAAATTATATTATTCTGGTTTTGCACATATATTAGTGAATTCTCCTGGAACGAGGAGGGTCTTTGTCTGCAGTGGTTGTAGTTTAAGTACATGAAAGCTCATACCCTTTTTGTGTGGAAGAATCCTTTTATGAATCACAGTCCTGTCCTTTCATATCATCGGGTACAAAGTTCAGTAGCAGTGATCACCGTACATTAATGGCAGACATCAGAGTAGTGGAAATGTTTTCATCAACGAGCAGAATTTCATTTGATGCAGTTCTCTGTACCACATACTGTTCAGCATTTGTAAGGCGGTTTCAGCTGAACTTTTAATCTTTTTAATAAAGATGGACTTTTTCATCCTCACCTGTGTGAGCTGCCATTCTTCCAGTGCCATGGTCTCTGCTCTTGGCTCGCGGTGGTTTTATTTGCTCTGTAGGACTGTGGCTGCATAATGCCTCCCCTTGTGTGTCATAAAGCCTAAAGCATGGTTTTAAATTTTACTGCCTTGGTTACTGGTGCAATTGGCTATACAAATTCATGCCCAATTAGCTTAAGGAGGCTGTTATTTGTCTTATGTGCTTTCTGGCTTTCTTCATATGTGGTTAAAGTAGTTTGACCAGTATAGAGAGACCTGAGGGTGTAACTGAAACCACTTATATTCTCTTAAAGTCCCTTTTCAGGTCAGTGAAGAGCTATGCCCAAGGACTATATCGACTGCGGCAGCGTTTCCTCTTCACCACGTTCTGGGGCTTGATGTTCAGTCCTGTTTGGGAGGAAATGTTATTCCCTTGGAGTCATTACAAGGTGGAAACCTTTTCTTTGTGCTGTATATTTTCACTTAACAGGCTGCTGGCTTGATAGCCACTCCTTCACCGTGCTGTTTGTTTCACTTGCTATCCTTGAAATAGCACTGATCGACTGCAATAAAGACCTGTCAGGCTAACTGTCACAGGAGGAGGCTTGGCATTTTTTTAATGAGACCCTTTATTTTTAAGGCAGGTGAGACATGCTACCTTCTGCTGATACCTGAAGAATTCTCAGAACTGCAGCAATCCCCTCCTTTCTCCCACCCTATTTTGACTCAAACTTGCCTTTAAACTTGGAACAAAGTATGTGCTGCTCTCTTCTGACCAACTGCACAGAGCTGTGGCCTGAGCCAGCTTCTTAGGAAGCAGATACAATTTACCCTCACTTAGATTTGCACCCCAGTACGTACTGCATATGTGCTTATTCCACTGATTCCATCAGATCTAGAAAAATATTTTAAGTTGAAGTTGCTTTCAGTAATTTCATTAAACTTGATTTTTGAGAGACTGCATATAGGAGTATCAGTAAATACATTTTTATGATAAAGTCTCTCAACAGCTCCCCTTTTTTCCCCTCAGATGTTACACTTCTGAACAAAATGTCCTTTGTACAGTAAATGTTCTGTGTGTAAGGCTAATGATAAATGGAAAATGATAAAGAATTATATACATACTTGGAGGGGGAGGAATACACAACATCACAAACTGTTCTGGTTCCACCACGGCCTTGGGAAGCAGACAGCAAATTTGGCTGCTGCTGTTGAAGTTGTGCGTGTACAGATCTTTTGTGGAGGTGGGGCAGGGACACTGTGAGAGGTGCAGGAGCTGAAGTGATGAGCTGTGTTCAGGGTAGATTTAAAGCTTTAATCCCAAAGTTTTTCCATCTCAGAATTGGAACATTGTCTTCTTTTTAATGCTGAAACAAATGTGTTAGTCAGAAGAGACAGTGAGGCATGGGGAATATTTGTCAGCCTTTCTGAGGTGCAGAGTGTGCTCAAGGTGGTAGCATCTGAAGATAATTTCAGAGAATAAAGTGCAGAACAGCATGGCATCCACACACACATAGGCTGAACCCAGAAATCTTTTCAAAGCAATATGATAAAGCTATTCTGAATGTCGAAACCAGTCTGCTGAGTGTCTGCAGGTTAGCCTGTTGGGTGATTAGCTGCTGCTGGACTTGTTCTGCACTTGCTCGTAACACACACTGTTTTGTTCTGGTAGCAAGCAGAAAGGACCAGAAAGTGGCTTTGTCTTTATTCTCTGGTCTGTGGTGTAAGTGTGCAGTCCTTTTGTGGTGCTGTCACAGATCTGGCCCAAGGTGGTGTTTGTTTGTTCTTTTCACCTCTGCTAAGAGCTGTTTTGACAGTCAGTGCTTTTCTTCTAGGGCATGTGCAAACAAATCCCCGACGAGCTAGTATACTGACGGTCAGCTTAAACTCCCTTTAAAGAAACTGGACCTCTCGCAGGAAATGTTTAGATGCTGGAAATTTATGCAAAATTGAGCAGCTTTTTGTGCAGGGCTGCCCAGGAGGAGGCTGTGATTCCGGCTGTCCGCAGGTGGCAGCAGCGCTCTGCCCGTACCGCTGCGGCATCCTGCGGTGCCTGGAGGCTGAGCTGCTCTGCCACGGGGGCTGCTGTTCTACGAGGTTGGTCTAGAATCGAGGTCCACTTTTACCGAGTTGCAAAATGTTTCCCGCAGCAGCCCGTACTGTTATTGGGGAAGAAGCATGGTGATTTTAAGGATTGCACAGGCTCAGGTCAGCACTCCTCTTTATTTGGGAGGATTTATTTGCAGCCATGGCAGCTAGGAGCAGCTTGTTTTCCCACTTTCAGATAGTGGATCAAAAATCTGCAGGACTATAGAGAAGGGAGACTTTCCAAATACATACTTAAAACTACCTCATTTTTTTTTGTCTCCACAGGAATCCAGTTTAGCTCTATTTGTAAAAAATTTTAGTGTTGGTCTGGTGTTAGTGTTGGTACCTCAGTGGGTCTCCTCTGGTCTCCTCTCCATTTTGAAGGTAAATGGCTGCAGATGAATTTCTAATGTGCAGATTATGGCTTGACAGATGCTTCTGACCCAGGCAGGTAATGGCAGAAACAGGCATTTGAAGAACGCCAGTCAGCTCTATCTTATACTTTTAAACCTTTGCTGATGGCTTAATGAGCTTATTGTGGTCAGATGCTGAGAGCATCTTTCAAAAGAGTGGGGCCAAGCTGTGCGTCACGGTTAATACAAAAATAACCATCAGTGTGGGGGAAAAGTGCAGCGTCTGCACACTCCATGGACACTAAGATGCACTTCTGTTCAGGCAATTACTTTTAACACTCACATCTTGAATCGTTGTTGGAAAATCTTAATAATTCTATAGTGCTATTAAAGGCTTGGGCTATATTCTTCCCATTTCTTAGGTGAGTAGACTGGGTCTGCTGCTTAATCAAGGCCATGCACTTGGAGAAGAGTACATAACAGTTCTCCTTTCTAGTCTGTTACCTTAATAACTTGGCCCTTTCCCTCACATATTGGCTTGTCTTTTAGGTCTGTAGTCCATTATTTTGTATTTAAATCACCTTTGGTTGCTTTATATTTAGAATTTTGTTCCTGCTGAATTACATATTTAAGGAATGAAATGCTGCTCTGGCTTTTTTAAGCTATTTTTCTAAGTATCTAGCCAAGTTAAAATCTATAGCTCCCAGAACTGCTAAAAAATTCATAAGGTTTAATAAAACTCAGCATGGCTGTCTTATTGCGGCTGTATGTCTAAAGGAAACATAGGCCCACACTGTGTGGAGTAATGCCCATGCTTTACTGCCTGAAATAAGTTTTTTGCACTTCTGTATAACTCAGAGTACAACCCAAAATGAACATGTTTATCAAGTTTTCTTTTACACCTTCTTCTGGTAACACTTAATACTGTCAGTGCTCACCCTATCTATGCAGTTGTCTCATAGATCCCAGGGAAGTCCACCTTTGAATCCAGATGTTTTAGTGGCCCCATGGATTTGTCTGAAGGAAATATTTGAAGGACATAGTATTCCTTTGGGGTCAGCGGAGAGGGTGCTCTCTCACTGAAAGCAGAGAATGGGCTTCTGGAATCTTTTGGATGGTGGGTGTGACTTGCTTCAGAGTTTGAGTCTGTTTGGTCTGCAGGCACAGCGTGGGTGACCGAGTGCATCTATCCTTTTGGAAGGAATCTTGCCCCAGACTTCATGCTTGTGCTATCTTGGAAGAGAAGTTTGCACACTGCAGTTCACAGCCTCGGCACGTGAAAACCCAAATGTTTTTAATTTTTAAAAACAGAACAAATTCAAATAAAACTATAACACCTGCCTGTCCTCTTTTGACTTCTTGTAAAGCTGCCAGAGTGGTTTGATGAATTAAAAATCTATGGCACCATTATGCTGCTTTTCATGAAAACAACAAGGAGGAGAAGCTGCTCATTAATCAGATGGCTCTGTCAATAATGAATCAAGGTGAACGTGCTGGCCGAGTGATGTGTCACATAGGCAGTTTGTCAGGGAGCGAGGAAAGCAGCGAAGACCTCACAAAAACACTGGCATGCTGCTCCAAGAGCTTGAAAGCAATGAGAACTCAGCAGTGGGAGAAGAGGTTAGAATCTGCTTCATGCAATCTTTGTTGTTGCCTTTCAGGAGTCTTGTCCTAGACCAGACTAGCACTGGGCAGCTCTGCTCTTCTGGCAGTAATATTATGTGCTCCTTTAGGTGGGAAATCCTGGTATCTGCTCTTTTTTTATTATTATGTTTTGGCAAAGCTCATGCAGTATTTACCCAAGGGAAGGACAGAAGGTTGATCATCTCCTCTTAGAGCAGATCCTGGATTTTACAGAGGCGGATTTGTGCAACAGGCAAAATGCTCCTGAAGTCCACTGCACTTGGGCTTACTGCGTAGGTGCTTCTCAACCCAGCAGTAATCCAGCTGCATGCTGACCTGGGAATCTCCCTGCTTCTGTCAAGAGTTCTTCTAGCCCCAATTTCCTTCATCTGTTCCTGTTGGGAAATCATGAGGTGGATTCGGTCAAAAGCAATGGTACTGGATGTTTCAAAAGAAAATGACACCAATGTGAAAGAATCACATTTGTCCATCCTATCCTGAAAGCTGTGGAGCCATAGGCCCATTTTAATAAAACTTGGCAGAGGTTTCAGAAATACTAAATTCTGTCAAGCTTTGAGAAAATACACAGCTGTGCTGAGTAGGGTGACCCTAAAAGTGCCTTCATACACTGAAAAGCTGAGGTAGACCCAGCCCCTAGCAGGCATCTGGGAGTTCATACACAGCTTTGAGACACAAATCCACAGAACACTTCAGTGGTTCTACTGCCCACATAGGTACTTGGTTTAACAGAGTCCAAATCTGACTAGTGCAGAAACGATATTTTCATGAGGCTGAAAAAAAAATCAATGAAAGCAGTTTATTTGACTTAAAATCTTCCCCTGCAGGATCTGATTTTGCTATGTTTTGCAAGTTTGTAAGAACAAGGAAAGCAATGAGTTTTTTATATTAGCCTAAGAGAAGCAGGTATTCAAAGCTATGGAGAA